ACACATGTTCTTCACATGCCCATTGCTGGGGGTGTCTGGCCATGCAGCACCTGTCTTGCCCTCTTGATCCCTCTTCCTCATCCCCACCTCCCATCTGTACAGCCCCAGCCTCTCCTCCTGGAGCAGCCTGCCTGCTCCCTGGCTAGTCCCCTCCCTCCTGGGGCAGCCCCTCAGGACCAGCCTCACCAGGGTTGGGTCACCCAACCCAGGTGAGGTGCTAATTGGCCAGGGCAGAGGACACTCCCCTGGGCTTCCTCCTTCAGGGACTAGGGCCCTGCCTCTGGACCTGAGTCTCCTATGTAGGAGAAGGAGGCTCAGAGTGTTAACAGGACTTGGAGAGGTGACACCTCCCCAGGGAGAGCCTGCAGGATGGGGTATCTGAGGAGCGAGCAAGCGAGTGGGCAACCTGCAGCTGGGTCGGGGAGGACTCTTGCGTTATGTGAAGGTCCTTTTTCACCTCGGGTGTCCTGGCCTTGCCCATTCTCTCGTAGGTAGTAATAATAAAATCCCCGCCCCTGCACGTCTCTGCAGCTCTCCCAGCCTTCACAGGAATGGTGATTAGTGGTGAGCTCTGGCCTGTAGTGCTGGCACCAGGGCAGCTGCAGACCAGCCAGAGAGTCACCTCTGCTCGGGCCGCTACCCCTAGTCCACTCCCTGTCAGCGAAGCCTTCCCAATGAGCCTTCACACCTGGGCAGACACCAGTCTTGGTCTCCATCTTCCCATCCCTGCTGTGTGAGGGAAAGTGGGTGCCCACCCGAGACTGGCGAGGTCAGGCTCAGAGGCTTGAGTGGGCTGCTGTCAACATTGCACCCTCTGCTTCACACGCTGGCCCTGGCCCCCCGCTGTGCCCAAGCCAGTCCCAGCAGCTGCAGGGGCCTCTCCTGCAGCGCCCCCCACTGCCCCCCAAGGCAGATCATACAAGACACAGGCTCTGGGGAGAAGTGTTCACTCAGGACTTCCAAGAGTTCAGTCTCAATGTCCTCTTTGCCCCCAGCCCCCTACATAGAGAGCCTCATTCCCCAAGCCGACCCTGGGCCTCCTCTGCCTTGCTGGTCCACCCCGTCTATGTGGCAGAAGTTGGCAAGGGCATGGACTCTGAACCCTTCCAAAGCCTTTGCTTAGGGCTGGGATCCCACAGTGTCCAGAAAACTCGCCGCAGTGACTACCGGAGGGCAGGACAGCCACCGAGCTGACCAGGGAGGGTGTCCACAGGGTCCCAGGCAGACCCTGGATGGAGACCCACCAGACACTCAGTAGAAGTGTTGCCCCCGCAAAGCTGAGCTCCTATCCCTGAGAAACACTCTTACCATGACCCATGGGGTGGACGCCCTGCCAAACCTTCCTCTTGAAGGGGGTCAGAAAGGAGAGACAGCAAACCCTGTCCTGCCCGCCCCACGGCCACCTGTGGCTCCGCGGGGCCCAGCTGTTTTCTGCTCTCTAGCCCTCCATGTGCTTCCCCCAGCCCATAGCATGTCCAGGTGTCCCTCTCCGGAAGTGGCCTCTGAGGGGCCAACTCTGCCTTTGCTGTGGCAGGTGATGAGACCCATTCTTTGCAGGTGCAGAGGACAGGGCGCTCTCTCCCGTTGTGTGGAATATGGCCGCAGGAGCAGTCCCATGACTCCTGCCATTCAGCCTGCTGTGCTTAGCCAAGACACACACCGGGGGCTCTGTGACTGTCCCCCACGCCCACCCCCGGAAAGTGAACCCTTCTCACTCTCTGCTCGCCCCTCAGGCCCTGCTAGAGACGGCGCTGACCCGGGTGGTCCTCCCCATGCCCATCCTGGTGCTGCCCCCGATCGTCATGTCCATGCTGGAGAAGTAAGTGGGAGCAGGGAGCACAGGGGGCGGGGCCCTGTGGCGAAGCAGGGGAGGGGCCGCCCCTGCTGGCCCAGGACAGGGACAGGGTAGAGCTGGCAGCCTGCCCCAGCGCTGAGCCCACTTAGTGCGCCTTCCTGTACAGCCCACTGCAAGACAGTGCCCTCGCTGCCCAGGGTTGGCGGAAGGCATGTGTGTGTGTATGTGTGTACACAGTTACTCTCGGTGGTAGTGAACCGTGCAGGGACGTTTGTGAAAAGTGTCAGGCTTGTAGTGGGCAGACCAGACATGGGGCCAGTCAGACGTCCATCCTGAGGTAGGCCACCACCTCGCTGCGCCCTCGGTTTCTCCCTTTATAACATAGGGCAGAAGCGACCTCCCCAGGTGCTGCAAGCAAGCACGTATTTGCGCTGCTGTGGAGCAAGGGAGCGCTGTCACAGCACCCACGCAGAGGGGTCCTGTACACTCGCGCGAGTGGGAAGCCCTGTCTGAAGTCGGAATGCAGTCGGGAAG